CATGTCAGTGTGCAAATATAATGAATGGAAACCACGGTAGAAATTTGTGCTGCACGTGTTCATGTTTCCCTCAATTCCATACATGACATAACCATCTTCATCACTACCACAGTGTGTCCTTGTGCCACTCATACAGCCTGTTCTCAGGCCTTGCAGAACCAGACCTGAGTGAGCTGCAGGGAGGTGAGGACAGGGAGAGCAGCCCCCTTGCCCCAAGCCTCGTGGTCCTCACTGGGCGGTAATGTCTGTGAGCTTTATCCAAACTGCATTGCCACCTGTGTTTGTTCCTGTTGGAGATGACAAGCCTGTTTTCCTGCCCTGTGACACTTTTCAGAGTGTAATAAATTCAGTGGGAGGCACAGGGCTGGGTAGTGCAGGAGGATGCTGGCACTGTGCTGGGCAGAGCATCAGCCCTTTGTGGTTCAATGGCAGCTGGAGCTCTTCAGCACAGCCAGGCTGGCTGAAGTAAAGCTGATGGTGAGAGATTTGGGGTACACAAAACTTGAGACTGATCTTCTTTACTGGTTGAGTTCTGCTTTTAAAATGGTCAAGATATGTAAAGGCACACTCCTGGCAAGTGCCAAATGTGCATTGTGGTTGGGTCACAGTCTCAGTGTTGGACCATCTGTATCGCAGCAGCGTGTGAGGCTCCAAGCTGTGAGAAACACCCAGTGGTGCCACCCGTGTGTGCACACAGAGGGAGGCGGTTTGCCAAACTCCTGAAGGGCCAGGAACTGCATGCTAGATGGCCACAGGTGAAGGGATACTTCCAGGCAAATCAACTGGGACCCACTCCTATATGTGGTCGGGATCTATAGCAAATTAATTCAGTTCTCATGACTAGCCCTCTTTGGGGTGGTGGCAACTTGGAAAATGTCTACTCCTATTCTGATTGTGGTTTAAAAGAAATGAATCCTTAAGTGACTTTTCAGCCCTGAGATGTTCCTGCTTGATGGAAGGAACATCTACTGCTTCCTGCTAAAAAGAACAGCATTGAAAGTTTTCCAGAGCATAAGCTTATAAGTTTGTTTCAGCTAGCTCTAGTAAGCAGCTGTTTTCCCTGGATTGTGAGCTGGGGGATTTCACAGGGTATGCCTTAACCAAAAATAAGTTTGTGCCCTTCCTAAATACATCTGTTTCACATTCAGGTCTTTTTCTAGGCAGGACTTTTCTAAATTTAAATTCTTTCCTTGGATAACCTCTCACGTCACTCACTACCTATTCAGCAAAGGGTGTGTTAGGCCATCTGGAAAATTTTGAAATATGGGATCATGAAATCAACTGGAGTTAAAATTTACTCAGCATAGAAATGCATATTTCTAGATTTCCAGATAACAGTTACAAGAGCTGATCTAATTAACTGCTATCGTGCAGCTTTTATAGAACCTATTTTATTTGTATAACAAATGCGTATTGATTGGTGGCAAGCAAGTGCTAAAGCAAGTTCAATTGCATTTTATGTTGTGTGCTTAGTCAATAAGGCATAGGAAATGTAGGCTTCATGCTGGGATATTGCAATGGCTAGTGAGGCACTAGGACTCAGGATTATCTAATGCTACTTAGCAATCAGCATCAACAGCATCCAGAATGTGCTTGCTGAAATGCAGCTTAGCCACTTAGCAGCTCCTAACGAATATTTACCAGAGGATTTTTATAGTTATTCTATTACATTGCACAGGTATAATTCAAAACTATTCTAGCAATGATTTATAAAATAGAAGGATAAAGCTGTTTTCTGTATAAACATTCCACACTTTGATTTGCTTCCATGAGTGAATTTCCTTTCAAAGTATGAAAATGGAAAACATATATGGGTCATAATTCTCAGCAACATTCTTTTTTACCCTCACAAAAAATATACATCTCTGTTATATTTTTATAATAGAGATACTTAAACCTTCTAAAATATCTTGGCCAAGACTTGCTGGAATCCCAACCCAGTGTAATCTTTTATAAATACCTCTCTACAAATTTGCCTCTTGAAGTATCCCTGAGTATATTATTTAAATCCCAGAGGAACTTTAGAAAGCACGTGCAGGAATGGAAATCCTTTTAAACTATAGTCTTTTGTATGGGAAGCTTTCTGAAGAGGGAGGTCTGATCCTGCTGCATTGAAAGCTGGCAGAGTTTTTGCAGAAGCTGTATAAGGCACTTGATGGCAGAGAGAAAATTCCACAATTGGTATCTGGCTCTGCCCTCAGCAATGAATGCAGCTCTGTTGGCTTTCTGTGGGAAACTGGGAAGGGGAATGGGAGAGTGGGCCCAGTCCCATGATGTCTCACTGGAGTAACCTGGAGGCAAATCTGGCCCTTGGTTCATGCAAGTGTAAATGCCCACTAATGTAGCTGAAGCAAAGAAAATTAAATTTATTGCTCATAGCAAGATCCTTCGGCACCAGATCCTGAAAATCCTCAGGTCTAGCTTTGATGTGAGCAGCCCCTTTGCTTTCACATGAACATCATCTCAAGAAAGTGTATTTAAGCTTTCTTTTTGTTTTCAGTTCTCGTGGCAAGTTCTTTCCTTCAGCCACTACTGCCAGTGGGGGAGTTTATCATTTGGATATTACTAGAGATATTATCTCCTTAAGATTTCAGTTTTATGGACATGTTAATTGAATTAAAAGATTAATATACAGTGGAAGCGACCAAGGACATAAGCGATTAATCCTGAGAAATAAAACATAGTTGAGTCACATAGAAGCACTATAGGGCAAAAAAACCAAACAACCCAGCACCAAAGGACCTTTGACAAGAAAGGTTGTTTTTTCCCCCGACAACCCTGTCAGCTGTGGCTGTCAACAATAAAAAGAAGAAAACAAATAAATTGGAGGCTGTGTGTAAGTCACAGGACTAGAATATAAATACACATGACACGGAAAGGAGTAAATAATACTGAAGCTTTCTTTAGAAATGTTCTCAGGCAATGCTTCCTAATCATGTCCTACTGAAAAGACATGAAATGAAACTTTATGGGGAAAAGTGTTATTAATCACACAGGTTCTTGAGGGGCATGACTATCAGTGTGTTGCAAGACACTCTTCTTTACAGACCTGCTGTTTAGTGCCTTACACCAACGATGCAGAGATGAAGAAAAAATGGGTATTTTATTTATCAGATCATAAAAGAAATGTGTTTAGCCATTGCTGTCTATACAGTTATGCGTTTTCCACTGCAGGACAAGAAGTTCCCCCTGGAGCTGGAACTCTGGATGTGAACAGCATTTCTGTGTGCAGTGTGCAGGAAGCAGGTGGGATCAGGGCACTGAAGGAGCCCTGCACTCCTGCAGGCATCTCGATGGCATAGTCCCACTTCTCAGCAAGGGCAACTTGCAGCCAAGTGTGGCCCAAGAAGGCAAATCCCACTGCTCAGGGAAGGTAGAAAGCCTCAAACTAATGAGAAGCTTTCAAATCCCCCAAAGTAAAATGGAAGGAAGGAGGGAAATACAGATTCTCAGTGTAGCCACTGGAAATTCAAGAGCTCTCATTTACAGTCAGGATGCTCCTAGGAAAGGAGGCCAAGGCTTGCTCCTGGTCCCATGGGAATACAGGCCTCAGCACCTCTGAAAGCAACGCTGGCTGGGTGCAGTCAGGACTCCTCATCCCTTGATCCAGCCCCAGCAGCCCCACAGCAGCACAGGGAGCCCTCACCAGGTGCCTGGGGACCAGCTCCTCTTGTCCAGGCAGGGGGCAAGCTGCCAAAAAGCAGCAGTCCTGTTGCAGAGCTTCAGCTCCTGTGTCCTCCTGTGAGGTCTGCTCATTGGTCCTTCAAAAACATGGGAGCAGAAGGCACTAGACTGGAGTGCTAAGCACCATGGGAGAACCCAGAAAACATTGCTTTAAAAAGGGAATCATACCTACTGGACTAACTCCTCAGAGCAGGCTCTTCCCTCCTTAAAGGGCTGGAAAATGCCTACCAGTGAGTATCTGCTCTTGCAAATACCATCTTCAGAGTTAGTAATAAAGGCAGCTAAGCAAATAATAACACACATAAATACTTCTTTATTGCTAACCACCAGCAATTACAGCCCCAGGTCTAAAATGCATCTCTTGCAGGGGAGATGTCTTCTTTGGTGAGGTGTCCACTCTAGGAGAGGTTGAAAGCTTCTGCTAGAAACTGTGCTGCTTCTTATCCAGCAGCAGCTTGGGTCAAAGATTTGCAACCTGTACTGGTGACATAAAAACCCTACTGGTTAAGTCTTCTGCTCATTTTGGTAGTTCCAGGGACAATAACTTGAAACACAACCTGGAGTCCTCTGTCTTTGTCGGTCTGATTAAAAAAGTCCTTCTGACTAAGTTTTTTGTGCTTCTGTGTCTGTAAAATGACAGTCAAATCTCTTCCCTCCTCAGAAGTGCATCCACACATATGAGGCTCTTACATGCATGGCTTTAGCCCCTACTCAAACAACTTACATACACACTGCTCCTGGAGTTACTGTCCTGTTAACACAGAAGGGTGTTATGGCTTATAAAAATACTATTTTTTGGGTTTGTTTTTTTTTTAACTTTGACACATTTTAAATCTCTTCCCTTGCAGGTCTGTGTGGTGTCCTTAGTGGGATTTGTTATGCTTTGTATTTCATACCAACCTGATGAGAAGACATGTGTGCAATTCACAGTAAAGGTACCCTATTTCTTTTTTTTTTACTACATGATGTTCCTCATCTTCTAGAGTTCATGCCAAAACTTGTCCTCTGTCTTTGTCGGTCTGATTAAAAAAGTCCTTCTGACTAAGTTTTTTGTGCTTCTGTGTCTGTAAAATGACAGTCAAATCTCTTCCCTCCTCAGAAGTGCATCCACACATATGAGGCTCTTACATGCATGGCTTTAGCCCCTACTCAAACAACTTACATACACAGTGCTCCTGGAGTTACTGTCCTGTTAACACAGAAGGGTGTTATGGCTTATAAAAATACTATTTTTTGGGTTTGTTTTTTTTTTAACTTTGACACATTTTAAATCTCTTCCCTTGCAGGTCTGTGTGGTGTCCTTAGTGGGATTTGTTATGCTTTGTATTTCATACCAACCTGATGAGAAGACATGTGTGCAATTCACAGTAAAGGTACCCTATTTCTTTTTTTTTTAATTCCTTGTTCTTGTCATATTGTTACATACAATCAGAAAAGTTGTTAGTGGGGCTATTTTTAAGATCACATTAAAAGAAATGAAAATGCACCTGAAATGCAGGAATAGTTTTCTGGTATTTTTCAGACAGCTAAGGAAGAAACTGTAGCCCATAGAGGGGAAACTAATAACAAATACTTGAAAACAGAGCAAGATACCTTTTAATTTGCTATATTTTAAGAATATTAAAGACACTCAGGTCAACAAAGCTGGAATAATTTGGAAAGTGTTCAGTGAAGGATTGGGGGTTACTGGTTAAGTACAGATATTCACAGGGAGCTGGGGAAGAAGTAGCATGGGATTTAATGGGTCCATGGAAGTCTAGTTTAAATTTTTCATGCTACCTAATAAGCATCTCAGGATCTTCCCAGCACATTCGCTCCTCACCATGAAATAAGAAACTGTGTGGGCACAGACAGATTAAAAAGAGAGGCTGGAAATCTCTGCTTGCTCACCTCCCTGGCTGGGGAGACAGGGCTGTACCTGAGCAGCTGTGTCACAGCACATGGTGCTTTTCATCAGGGTCCAGCATTGGCAAACCTAGGAAATTGCTAGCAAACCACGGGCTTGAGCATTCTCTCACAAAGCAAATCCCCATCCAAGCGTTGCAAGGGAAGGGCAGAAACCATGCACCATGCCCCACCTTCAGCCCCCCAAACTGGGCTTCGTTGACACGGGTAAGCAAAGAGAAGAGAAAGGCTGAGAACACTTGTTCCAGATGGGATACTTTTTAATACCGATTTTCTGGGCTGTTTTTCCTTATTCTCAGAACTTTCAGGGCTCACAGTATTTTGCAGACTCTTAATAACGAAGGAAAATACTGACACAAGCAACACAAAACAGCAGTGATTATTAACTGAGAAAGACAGAAGGAAACTAAACACAAGGAGCAGCTTTTCAAAACCTGGCATTCATCCTCCCTTAGAAATTAGACCCCGGTGTGTCTTTTGTGCCTCTCTCAAGCTTCTCCCCTACTTACATAAAGAAAGGGAGAAGAAGAACAATTGTTTCTGCCCTGTGATTGCCTTTACATTCTCACCCCATCACCTTTACACCTCCAAGTCAGCCCTTACAGCTGCCTGGGGAGCTGCTGGGCTGGGCGGGAGCTGCCACGCCAGGCTTTTTATTGCTTGCCTTGCAGCATTCAATTGAGCTTGGCATCCAAGCAGGAAGGGAGTCATCCCTCATGGTGGGCTGGGCAGCTCGGATATCTCTGCCACCCTTGGCAACACCACCCACCCTGGCAGTGAGGAATGCGAGCCCTCGCTCTGGCAAGAAAATCAGCCTTTTGAAAGTGCTCCCCAGGCGGTGTGACTCGGGTTCCTCCTCATCACCTGGCAGAATTAGAGCTAAGGTCTCCCTTGAGAGTCTTGTGGTTCAGTCAATAGCCCATGGACTGTTGCTTACCCTAAGAACCCTCCTCCCCAGAATCCACCTTCCCGGCGTGCCACAAAACCCCAGCATTCCCAGGTTGTTCATCTCTCCTGTCCCACATTCCCACCAGGAGCCGTTATCCCACAGTGTTTCCCCTCCTCTCTGCAGCTTCTGGCTGCAGGGAGTGTACCTATTTTAAACAAAGTAGGAGCTAAAAGTCTCCTCCAGGGCTTTGATCACACGGGACTCATCTAAATCTTCAGTATCACTTCTCAGATCTTCAAATGTCAATTAAAGTCTGCCTCTGAACAAAACAACAAACAACCCAAACCCAACAACAAACAAACCCCCAAACCAGCTATTCAGCGACAAGGCTGGGGATGCAAAATTACAATAATGACAGAAAGTTGAGCAACTTCGGTCATTCTCTGCTCCTTTGGGGGCTTGATTCTTTGTTCAACTTTGTGGTTGAGTTCAGAATTATCTGCCCTGACTGTTCTCTCAGGGCCTTGCTCCCCAGCCCAGGCCTTGCTCTCACATTGGTGGCCACTGAGGCTTCCAAGCATCATCCTACAAGAAAACCTTTCCTGGGGCACAGTAAGCACCCCGGGATCCCTTGCATAGCCCAAGGGTCATGATGGGAGGAGGACCACACACACACACATGCACACACACACAGGCCAGGAGAATTTTAGTCAATCCCAAAGGTGACCCTATCACCACTGCAGTTGACTCCCTGGGTGGAAAAAGCAGGAGACCAGTGCAGTCCTCTCTGCCTTCCTCAGACTTGACAGCTGCTTCTTTCATTTCACACTTGCCTGACTGAGCCCTAGATCCTGTTAAAAAAGGGGGTGTGAGAACTGTTTTCAGCAGAAGCCCCTTCCTGAGTCTACCGTAGGTAGACTGTGAGAAAGGGAAACCACCACCCAAGGGAGAGGGGCTTTGCTCTTCAGGGAGACAACGGTGATTCTCAGGTAGAATTTCTGCCCCCACCCCACCTCTGCGTTTGCAGGAAGCATGAGCTGCAGTATGGCAAAGCAACATGCCCGTCCTCTGGCACACTGAAAAATAAGGACTGCAGAGGAAAATTTTGAGATCTCCTGCTAATATTTGACAGATCATTCACTGTGGCCCTCCTCACGGCACCTCCTGCAGTAGCGTGACACCCAGTCAGCCCCAGCAGCCCATGCCGTGACACACCACGGTTCCTGTTCCCTGCACAAGCTTGTGCCTGAGCCACCACTGCCTTCAAAAGGGATCCCCTGGGTCCAAGCCTGCAAACTCTTCCGGTTTCACCTCTAATAATTATGAGAAACCTTTTCCATGAGGAGCTTGACACGTTATTTATTTGCTTTTTGTCACAGAGCAAAACTATTTCCAGTAAATATTGCTGAAATGTTTCCTCCTTGTATGAGGAACCTGAAGGAAGATGAGCTGCCATACTCTGACCTCATCATATGCTGTCCCTCCCCGCTTCCCTTTTCTCCATTTAAACAGCAATCTCAGTGTCTTATCTCTCTGAGCCTGTTAAAAAACAGTTTTCCAGTGGCAAGTTCTGGTTCCTGGGCAGAGCTCACTACGTGGTTTTATTTGCGATATTGAAGTTGCTTCTAGGTCTGGCATGTGATTAATCTGCTGATGGGATCTCAGCACTCACTGTCTTGTGCTCCCTCACAAGCAGTATTTGCATTTGCCTCACCTTTGATATTTGGAAATGTGTTGATTTTCAGCAGCTCACAGAGAGATTCCTCTGCAAACATCTCGTGAGAATAATAAGCTATTTGGAAATCGCCCTGTGCCTCTCCATGCATCCCTGCTCACCTCTGAGGATTGCTGTAAAAGCTGCTCATGTATTTGGTGCATTTCAAGGGGATTCCAAGATTTCCTTCCTTTTAGGGAAGGAAACAAGCGAATTCTTGCTCACTGTACCTGGAGTGTAGCAGTTTAGGATATGGATTTCAGCCAGGGAGAGTCAAGCACACCATGTCGTCCTGGCTTAGTATCTCATTTATTAGGGAGGCCTGATTCTGTCCTGCCAGTCTGAACCCAGTGACTCCCAAACACTGGGACATCTGCATTGCAGAAAACTTTGGTCTCTCAGAGAAGAGGAGCAGCCATCAATATTTGTTCATTTTCCATTTTCCCCATCAAACACACTTGCACCATCTTTTCAAGTAGTGCTGAAGGGCTACAGATCAGCACATCTTGAGTGGGGGAGGGTCTGCCAGTCAGCAGTGCTCCCTTCTGTCTGCTTTATATGTGGAGGTGTCCCCATGTTCTGATTTCACCTTTACCTTGAAAGCTGTGGGGGTAAAGTATTTGCATTTAATAACAGCCACCCTCATTTTGAAGCTGCCCTTGGTTTAAGGCTGCAGGGGAAGTTATTAAATTTAATAGTAGCCAAGTCTTGGAAACAAAGATCTTGCTGTAAGAATTTGATGATTAAGGGGAGAAAATATATACAGTGCCTTAAGATTTGCAATAAGCCCAAATATTATTTTTTTCAAGCTGGCATCTGAATAGGAAGATCTATTCACACTGTAGGTATAAGACAAATACACCAGAAATGCAAAGTTTATCAAGACATACATACTTGGAGATTCAAGGTCATAAAAAATTCTTTTACACTCATAATTTGCTTGTGGTATTAAGGTTAAGAGAGAGAGGCTGCCATTTAAAATAACAGATTCCTAACCATGTCATGTATCTGACAGATAAGACACCAAGAAAAAGGAAATGTTTTTACAGCGCTGAACAGAACCAAAATTGCTATTTTGGCTAAACACAGAATATGTTTTAACATCAATGCACACATCTTTTGCATGCAGCTCAGCAACCTCCGGTTCCAGCTATCAAAAGCAAAGGAAGTCCATATGCTCTGCTATCCAAAGGTCTCAGGTGCAACCCAGAATGACAAAGTCTCTGAATCACTTTTTGTTTCCATGAGCTTTTGCAGGTGGACTCTGCATAGATACCCTTGATAAAAGTCACTATATTTTAATGCTGCCACTGGTGTGAGGAGTAGTGGGTGACAAGCAGAGCCCTGTCCCCATGCCATAGCCCTGGGAAATGAAAGGTGCTCACTGGTCTTTCACCCCTTTGAAAGACTCCTCCATGTTTATGGGGCAAGTTTTGGAAGGAGACTGAGCACAGCACATGCTTTCTCATCTTGATTTGCATTCCCACTCCACAGTAGGACCTTGGAAGCAAGCAGGCTGGCTGCCTTTGCAGGGCAGCAAGTGGGAGATTAGCTACCTCGCTGCCTGATTTGCAAGTATAAATCAGATTTGTCTGGGCATGCAATCCAAAAGCTGGGAATAACACATGAGCAAAGTTTCAAAAACTACTTTCAAAAACGTTGCTTCTCAGCACAGCCTGGGATAAGATGTCAGCCCAAGCCTCCGTCTGCTCAGCTCTGCTTCAAGGCAACTGCATTAATTTATCTCAGCTAATGACTGTAACTCTAGCTAATGAAGGTACAACACCAGAGGAAGATGCTTCCTCTCTGTAGAATTTCTGCCTCTACAGAGGCACAGATTTCTTGGTGCTCTCATCAGGTCTCAAAATTGCAAGGCAATACTCATATAAAATACGCAAGGCAGAATTACTAGTTCTTGAGATGACCTGC